TGCTGCTGCGGGCGGCCGAGAGCCGCGTCGGCCTCTACTCGCCCCACACCGCCCTGGACGCGCTCCCGCGCGGCGTCAACGCCTGGCTCGCGGCCGCGCTGGGTGAGGGCTGGCGGGGCGCGGCGGCGGGAGCCTAGAAGGGATCATGGATTGGAAGGCGCCAGGGGCTGTCCCGGCGCTGCCTGGCTGGGAACAGCGACTGCTGCTGGATGCAGCCCGCAGACCCCCTCCTCTCCCCCCTTGGACCTGGCCTGGCGCCTGCTCACTGCGCCTTGCAGGTGCTGTGAGTAGTGCGCAGCTGCAGCAGGTGCTGTGTGGGGCATGGTTGCCAAGCACTTGGTTTTAAGCTTTGAGAGAGAGGAGTAGGAATCAGAGGAGGGTTCAAGTGCACCAGTGTACACCCCTCCCCCCACCAGATACACCCCATGATCCTGCCTTGAGCTGACCACTGTGCTAGATGTGACCTGAGGCCCCTCCTGGCCCTACTCTCAGCCAAAATTGCAGCAAAACGTTTAAGCCTGGAGGTGAGGCAGAACTTTCTGGGGTTTAGCTGCCAGAACAGCCTTCCGGGAGAAGGTGTGGGATCTCCATCCTTGGAAACTTTTAAGACCAGGTTAGAGGGGGACTGGGCTAGATGTGACCTCATAAGTTCCTTCCAGCCCAGCTGTCCTGTGCATCCTAAGCTGGTGTGTAGGCCGCTGGCTGAGTGCATAGACCTGGATCTCATCTGGGTTTCTAGTTTAGGGAAATGATGGGTGCAGGATGGGCATGTGTTCCCCGCCATTACAAAAGGCAGAATGTTTATTGCCAGCTGAAAATGACCTGATGCATTTTCAGTGTTACTTGCTTGGCCTTGGTCTTCGTAGGGTACGAGCAGTTCTCAGTCATGGATTTCCTCCTTCATCAGGTAGTCTTTATGGGACAAAAGCACACCAAAGTTTAAAGGACACGTCCAAGATCAACCAGTTTAGTGACAGATCTTCCAACTCCCAGTTCCATTCCTTGATGATTGATCATGAATTGTAGGCGCTATTGAATCAGGCAAGGGACATAACCTAAGGCAGTATCTAGCGCGCAAGCTGTCTGATGTGTAATGCTAGGCCCGAAAAAACACCAACAGATATAATCAAAATGAATAGTCTAGCACCTTCCTTTAGGGAAGAGCCTTGGATTTATTGCACCTCTGATACAGTTCTGTTATTCAGCACATCAGGATGGGAAGCACTGCAGCATGTTTGAGTGTTCTGGCAGTAGTGTTAAGCCATAGATTGCAAGATGTTCTGACTAGTAAGTGCAGTTCCTAGTATAATAATCGTGTATTATTATTGTGGTGGAGAAGCATGGGAAGAGACACTTCCACTAAAACTTGATAAAACAATTTTTCCCAGGAATACTTACTTTCAACTTAAGAAAGAGCTGTAAATTTAGGAGCAGCAGGAAAATGTTGGCTAAGAGTTAACATGGAGATCTCCCTGTAAGATGCACATCTAGCCATGGAAAATAACTTTCTGAATTGAAACTTCTGCTCTGAACTGCTGTGTTATTCTCACAGTATTCAGTTCAACCTTCCACACTCGAATTTCAGCTATATAAAACCTCCTTGTAGATCTTGATTCTTTACTCCTAAAATTGGCTAATAAATCACGGGCACTGGATTTCTCTAGGCAGATCCTCAGTGGTAGGGGCCATTTTGTTGTTTTTTGTTTGGTATCATGAACTGCTGGGTTGCATGTTCTCTCAGGTGTCTCTACCTCCTCTGTCCCAATACAACCATCGACTGCTCTAACATATCCAACTGAGGGCAGTCACCGAGTGGAGTTCATTGTGGGCCAGGCTGAGCAGCTGGAAGCTGTCCTGGCCAAAGTGCAGAAAATTCCAGAGGTTTCATCTGTTGCGACTCTCCCTGCCAGGTACTGCATGTGGCACTCTGGTTTTTCTCCTGCTGCTTTGAAAAAATAAACACCATTGACATGTCTCAGACTTTTTTTTTTTTTTTTTTATCA